AAGGCACCTTGGAAGAAAGGCCTTCCAATTTGTTTCTAAAAAAACTCACCACTGGAAACTCTATTGAGTACAGTTCTAGTCTGAGACACACAGGGTTGCCATTGACTTGATGGAAACTGGTTTTTCCATTAGTGTCAGACTCTAAGGGGAATAGATCTATATTATCTTAGTTTGGAATTTAATCCATTATGTGGTTACACCTCTAAAGACTCTTAAAGTGATCAGCTGTAGAATAATATCTTGAGCTGAAGTTTAGTTTAAATCTGTTAAACATCTAAGTAATTAATATTTAATCCTTGGATGTGGCAGGCTCTGCTTTTTCTGCAAACTCTGACTGCAAAGATCATAATTATAGTAATTAAGACTATTCTTTGAAGTATCATTCACCTAACATCTGAATTGCCTTTGAGAGCTGATCAAATAACTAATAAAATGAAGAAAAGTATTTAAAATCCAGTCAAAGTTTCTATTTTCCAAAAAGCGGATTGGAAAATTGTATTGTTGTTGTTGTTGTTATGTGCCATCGAGTCGGACCTGACTCATAGCAACCCCTCCTTGGGTTTCCGAGGCAGTTATCACTACGGAAGTAGATTGCCCCATCTTCCTTCTGAGGAGTGGCTGGTGGGTGTGAACTCCCAGCCTTCTGGTTAGCAGTCAAGTCCCTTAGGCACTATGCTACCAGAGCTCCTGAAAATTGTATTATAGATTAGCTAATATCATCCAGGGACCTAACACCAGGAAATTATGGGCAACCAATACCTGCTGCTGTTAAGTCAAATCCTACTCATAGTGACCTATAGGACAGAGTGGAATTGCCTAATAGGGTTTCCAAGGCTGTAAACCTTCATGGAAGCAGACTGCCATATCTTTCTTCTGTGGAGCTGCTGGTAGATTTGAATCACTGACCTTCTGAACCACTGCATCACCAGAGCTCCTCAAATGCCAATAGTGGTATTCAAATACAACTTTACTGATGTTATATCCATATAATTCATTATAGCCACATAATTTTATAAGAATATGAATCTCTCATAAGACTATAATGGAGAGATTTCTGCATTTATGGAAACTTCCTGCTTCAGGAATTCCTCTCTATAACTCAGGTGTCTAATCAGTTAAATGAATGAGTGAATAAATGAATGAATGAATTCATTGTAAGAGTTAACTCTGGAAAATGGCAAAATACAATTTATTTTAGAGTTTTTTTTTTAATGGAACTATGTAGTTTAATAAAAATGGTTTTGTTCTTTTAAAATGTTTTCTCTGGTGTTAAAACAATACAAGATACATCATCATCAAATAATGTTGTTTATTTCAGGAAATAAGTCTTGATGCATCTTTAATCTCCAAAGGATTCAACTTAAGCTATTAATTTTCTGGTCACAGGCTATGTGACCCTTTTCTTACTGGATAAAGAATTTGTTTTGCCTGTAGGCAAAGAGTAATAATGTGTTGGTAGGACGTCAAGTTGAGGCTATCATGAAATATTTAACTAAGTATAAAGAACAGAAGTAAATCACAGAGATTAAAACTCTTCCGAGTGCTTACATTTGATTGATGAAAACTATGGTGATTAAAGGACTGGGCAATAGGCAGGGAAGAGTCCAAAAGTATGATAAATCTGAGGAAGGCTAATATGAGTTGGGAAGCTGTGGTAGTTATGTTTGTGTGTAAGCTTGGCTGGGCCTGGATGCGTGGCTGGACAGCTGGTGGTAGTTATTCCCCATGATAAGACTGGCAATCAACTCCATGGTGGATCTACCACAAACAGCTGAGTAGCTGCCTTTGGGATGTGGTTTGCTTCCTGTGTATAAGAAGAAGCCTTGGGAATGGTCTCTAGCCTATGGCACACTTGGACCCTGCATGTAGCCGTGTCATTGCTAAGCAGCCTGCTATGCTCTGCTGACCTTAGGACTTACAATGGACTTAAGTTAATGGCCTGCCATATGGTTTGGTAACATTGGGACTATGCCTTTTTATTTGTCAACCTTGAGGCTTCTCAGCCTTAGCAGCCAGCAGCTGAGTGAAGAAATGCCTCTAGCTCCAGTGGGCAGGGAGCAGGAGGCTGAGCTGGACCCCAAGGTTGAGGGGCTTTCACCCAGCCCCTAGAGCCTGGCACTTTGAACTTTGACTTAAAGCCTCCAAATTGTAAGAGAATAAACTCCTGTTTGTTAAGGCCATCCCATTTGTGGCATATTTCTTGTCAGAGCGGCACTAGGGAACCAGAACAGAAGGCTATCATAAATGTTGATGGCGGGCAGGGTAGGGGGAGGAGCCAGAAAGTGGCAGAGCTGGGGTAGGAATAAGGTCCATGAGAACAGAAATCAGGGTCATAACATATAAGTTAGATGTGCTTAAATAGTCAGGAAATTATGGCCAACAATAGTTCTTGCCCTGAAGAAGCACACAGCCTACTGTAATAAAAACAGACAGGTACATAGATAATCAAAACATAATGTAGCCATTGCTGGGAAAAGCTGAGATAATAGAGCAACTAACTTAGCATTATCGTCAGATAAGAGGTCACAGCTGAGCTGAGTCAATGAGGGTGAGTTTGCAGGAGATTGTAAGGGGGCTGAAGCGTGGATTAATGAAGGTAGGGGGATTTTCCTGGCAGAGTGAACAGCAGACAAATACAACAGCACTGAACTAGGTGGCTGGAGTTGTGGTCTAACTGATCAGATTCATTTTTAGGAGGATACCTCAGTGTTAATGATGGGTGCAGGGGGACAGACTCATTAAGAGGCTGCTAGCATTGTCCAACCAAGAGATGATGGAAGCCTAACAAATACACTGGCAATGGGAATGCAGAAGAGGGGTCAGATTCAAGAGACTTTAAAAAGTCCAACAGGCTGTGGGAGGCAGGAATGAGAGTATGGGAGTCCAATCTGGGAGGCTGATAGGGAATGTAAGAGAGGGTACAGTTGGGAGGAGATGATGTTGAGCTTAGTTTTTTGATATGGTAAGTTTAAAGAATCTATGTGGCATCCATGCAGGGATGAGTAATGAGTGGACAGACGGGAACATAGATCTGGAGCTCAGGAGAGACATGGGAAGGAGATGCAAGTCTAGATTTGAAAGCCAGTGGAAAGGATGATGGTGGTTTGGGCAATGGGATTACCCTAGAAGATCCTGGAAGAATCTGCAGCGTGAAGAGCTAAACGGAGTTGGCAGAGAAGGACGAGGTGCCCACCAAGAGCCTGGGGTGGACTAGTCAGAGAGGAAGAGCAGGAACAGGATGAGGATACCTGGAAAACCAAGGAGAGGTCCAAGGAGAAAAGGATGAGCCATAATTGCTGTACAACATCCAAGAGAAATCAGGACCAAGAAAAGTAATTCGATTTGACAGTCATTGGAGAAGGATCTACTAGACTGCAATGAATGAATGGGAGTTGAGAAAGTGGAAGGGGCCAGCAAGAGTAGACCATCTGAATGCATTTTTGGTGGTGAGTGGGAGAAGGTAAATGGCATTTGACTGCTAACCAGAAGGCTGGCGGTTCAAACCCACCAAGCCACTCCTGAGAAGGAAGACTGGGCGATCTACTTCTGTAGAGATACTGCCTCAGAAACCCAAGGAGGGGTTGCTATGAGTCAGATCCAACTCGACAGCAGTGAGTTTGGTTTGGAGTATAGTAAGATTTTTTTTAACAGAGAAATCTAATTATATTTGTAGGGTTGGGGAAAGGAGTAAAGGAGGAGACTATGAGAGAAAAGAACTATAAACATCTGTGTTCTGGGGATCAGGATTATATACACTGGAATATATACAATCCACTGATCAGGATTGTACATATTAGCAAGAGTAACATAAGTAGAATTGTGTTTCATAGACCAGGAACTGTCAGACAATAACACAATATTATACAGTTCCTGCTGTAATATCTTGAGTTACACTTAGAGCAAAGTTCACAAATAACATGTCTCTGCAAACGTCAATGTTACATTTTTAAATAATAGGTGTATGAAGCAGGATCATACTCTTTTATCTACTTTAATGGCAAGGGATTGAAGCACGTAACTTTTTGAGGTTGCTTCTAATCCTATTAAAAATGTATGATTCTGAGTATTTTGACTCTTTTTATGGAATTCATGACTACTTTATTAATATGCGGAAGCTCTGGTGATGCAGTGGTTAAAGCATTCAGCTGCTAACCAAAACGTTGGTGGTTTGAACCCACCAGGCGTTCTGCAGGACAAAGATGAGGCAGTTTGCTTCCATAAAGAAGATTTACAGCCTTGGAATCTCTATAGGACACTTCTATTCTGTCCTATAGGGTTGCTATGAGTCAGAATCGACTTGGTGGCAGTGGGTTTTAGGTTATTAACATGGTTCTTGGTGAAATGTTCATCTGGCCTACCCTGATTTTCTTGCTATCTGTTCTTCCTAGAATATCTTTACTTTACAGTCCAAACTGAGTTCTGTAACAAGTTAACACCAATCATTTTGATCATGCTCTCTCTCTACACCCACCAGGTATAGCCATTGTATCACATGAAATATCCCAACTTGAAATTTCAAAATTTCTAGATCAGCTCACTTTATACTTTCTTTTGTTCATCTTTCAGTAGTGTTCTACTGCTGTCTACTCCTCCTCAGAAAATCTGTTGCCCTGGTACCAGCGAATACTTTTTTAAAAAGAGACTATCTGTCTTGAGTAAAATTCAATGAAGTCAAACATGTTGGCAAGTATTGCCTCTTGACGTTGAAGATAAGTTTTTTATTTAAAAAAAAAAAAACTTCAAATTGTCCTAAGACATGTTGTTCCAGGATTTGCCAGGTTAAACATTGTGGAAATTGTTCCAGTGACAGGTCACCCTGAGAAACTGGGGGTGCTTTTATTGCTGACTTAGCATTTGAAATCCCTTTTATATTGGTCAAATAGATTTACATTTTAATGAAATATTAGTGCTGAGAGAAGATTATAAAAGTAAGTGTCTGCATATTATCAGTGGCCTGGATAATATAGTTTCAGAAACAGTAAAATACTCAGAATTCTTACCAAGTACATCAGGAACTGCCAGCCAACAAAGAAATACTGTACTGTTCTTGCTGAGATATTCTGAGTTATATTTGGAGCAAAATTCACCAATAAGTATATTCCTGCAAATGCCAATGTCGTACCTTTAAATAAAATGGAAAATACAAACCAAATTAAAAAAGGGACTTAAACCTTGTGTTGATGCAAACATTATAAACTGAGCATTAGTTAAAAAAGTACCACACTGACAGGTCCTCCTTATGAAAATACCACTCATATCAAACCATCTCTAGTAAGCACCATGGGACCTCTGGTAGCATAGTGCTTAAGACACTTGACTGCTAACCTGAAGGCTGGCGGTTCAAACCTACCAGCCACTCCTCAGAAAGAAGGTTGGGCAATCTACTTCCGTAGTGATACTGCCTCAGAAACTCAAGGAGGGGTCGCTATGAGTCGGGTCTGACTCGACAGCACATAACAACAACAACAACAACAGTCAGCTAACCTAACTCTAACCAAGTAAGACTGTTATCTGATTCTCTTGGTTTCTGCAATATTTGTCCTGTCAAGAGGATCTAGCTCTTGGTTTTGTGGGATACAGCAGTCACAGAATAAATTGGACTCCTTAACACAAAATCATTTAGGATCCCCTCCAATCAGTGCAATCTCTCCAGATTACTAAAGTGTATAGTAACTAGACGTTGGAGGTACCTTCCTTTGGGAAATCTCAGTAACATACCATCAAAAACTCTTCTATTCCTGAGGCAACTCTGAAACTAAAGTGGCCAGTCTGTCTTCTCAACCAGAAGTGATGGCCAATTGGGCTAAATTTGTATTCTAGATACTGGCTCCAAACCAAGCTGATGTCTAGTGTGGGAGAAGAGGGGAAGCCGTCTTCATCTCACTGTTAATTCTGTAGCATTCTAGATAGTAGTCATTTATAGGTGACTTGAAGCAATCAAGTTACTGGTTGGTCTTGAAGATCGCTGATAAATTGACTATAATTTTTATTTCTATGATGACAGTATCTGGGCTTAAACCAACTAGGGTCTCACAGACTATTAGATGCAGTACTTTTAATCTAAAGGGGAAGAGAGCAGAAAATGCTATTATTTCTGGCTGATTAAAGGGGAGAGAAATCAGGTAACTTTTTAAAGGAAAAAATAATCATTAAAATAATTTATATTTATTAATGCACTAAGAATCAGATCACAGTTCAAAACTTGTCATTGAATTAATAATAATAATAGTTGGCAATTCCTTTCAGACACAGCTTTTGTGAGGTCATTTATTGAGGCCGGTGGTGAAAAGCTTCATAGCCCCAGAGCAACACTTGGCAATAAATTAGTTCAGCTTGTTTCCACATGGCCTGAAAATCTTCATTTGTTCCATCATGAAAAACAAACTTTCATTTGCTTGAAGCAGGAAAAATAAATGATTTACCGTTGCACATTTTGACAACGTAATTTTTAGCATGCTCATATGTTAACCTTTAAAAAAACACCACTGACTACTCTTTTCCCTGTTTGATTTTAGTCCTTGTAAAGAAAAATGCATTTTTAGCTTTTAACAGAAAGAGCCAAGTTTTCTTAGCAGGCCAAAAGGCCCAATATAAATACATGTGATGCAGCACATAACTGAATGAGGTTGAGCAAAAGTCTTCCCCGAACTTCTCTATGCGTGACGTGGATTATCATACTACCAGATAATGACAGTCTCATGATGTTCATTGGAGGCATGGGTATGGAACAAGCAACTAAATCCCCTTTCATTTCCATCATGCTAAAGTCAAGAACAGATCATTTTTAACTATTGTGGGGAACAAATGTGAATTATCAATTATATCATTCTATTCAAAAAGCAGTAAGTTATGAAGGCAAAGTAGGCCCAGCCAGAGTAGTAGAAAATGTCATCTGGATCGCTAAAGGTCACGAAAGTGTACTAACCAAGGTGTTTTCTGATTAACTACCAGAGTGTAGTGGTACGTGATAGTGACAGTAGTACTAATAATTAACACTGAAAACAAACAAAACCAAACTCACTGCCATGGAGTCAGATCCGACTCATACCAACCCCTCCTTGGTTTCCAAGGTGGTATCCCTATGGAAGTAGATTGCCCAACCTTCCTTCCAAGGAGTGGCTGGTGGATTTGAACTGCCAGCCTTCTGGTTAGCAGTCAAATGTCTTAGGCACTATGCCACCAGAGCTCTTGCTAACCAGAAGGCTGGCAGTTTCAGCCTCCAGCCACTCCTCGGAAGGAAGATGGGGCAATGTACTTCTGTACTGATACCACCTCAGAAACCCAAGTAGGGGTCGCTATAGGTCAGATCCAACTTGACAGCAATGAGTTTGGTTTGTTTTTTCTTCTGGTTAGCAAATGCCTTAGGCATTATGCCGCCAGAATTCATTTAATCCTGTGAGGTAGGTAATATCTTCATTTTAAAGTAAGGATATTGAGGCTTTAAAACATTAAGTAACTTTCCTAAAGTCACACAGCTCTCTGACATTAGAGACTCACCCTCAACGCTTATACCATTACACTATGCAGGATGCTTTTGTTAGCAAACAGGCTCACCACTTCCTAGATGAGACATAGGGAAGTTATTTAACTTTCCTTAAATATCAGATTTTGCTCTTCAAAGGGTTGTTTCTACATTTAAATAAGACTCTTCATGTAAAACATGAGTAAGTGTTTAATAAATGTTAGTTGTTATTAAAAATAAGAAATTAGCAAAGAATCCTAAGAAACACATTTTTTAAAAAATAATCTATTTCTACAGTGGAGCTATTCCTCTCAACTCAGCTCTACTCTTACTTAGCTTCATGAAGGAGGGAAAAGGCAAGAACGTATTGGCAATGTTCCTCTTTTAACAAAATATTTGATAAATCATTGTTAAACCATTGTTTTTATTAAGAAGTGTTTGTGTGTTTCATATCCCTTATCTTTGTATTTCCTCTGTGTAATGAAGAACTAAGTTTACTGAAAGAGAGGTTTGGTCTTTGTCCCAGCTCCTGGAGGTAACCTCCAAACTCTTGGAATTTACTGAGTGATAGGAGTGTTTTTGTTATTCATGGTGGGCCCCTCTGACCACACCTGATGATTTATGCTAAGGAGATGAACACCTACTCTTAGCACTGGGGCAGGCCCCACCAGAAAGGCCAACCATGTGATGAGAGGGCTGGAGCTTGGAGGCAGGTGACAACAGCCCAATCTCCAATATCAGCCCAACCTCTGGAGAGGTAAGGGAGGAGAGGGCTGGAAAGTGTTCAGCCACATGGGCAGTGATTCAATCAACCGTGCCTACAGAATGATTGTGGACACAGAAGCTTAAATGAGCTCCTCTGGCTGGTAATACTGTTTGAATATTGCCACACTTCTATACTGGGAGGGTAAAATGTCCCTGAGGACAATGGAAGCTTTCCTTTTGGAACTTTCCCAGACCTCACTCTACTTGTCTTTCCCTTTGCCAGGTTCTGATTTGTATCCTTTTGCTTTAATTAAATTGTAATCATAGCTATAGCACCTTCTTTATTCTTTGAGTTGCTCTAATAAATTACTGTACCTAAGGGTGGTTGGAGGACCTCTGAATTTGTAGTCAGCTGATCTGAAATGGTCCTGGAGACACTTGAACTTGTGACTGGAGTTTGAAGTGGGCAAGGGCAGTCTTGTGGAGGACTGTGTCCTTTGACTGTGCAGTTTGCCAAACTTACTACAATTGCTCAGAAATTAAGATGATCATATAAATGATGACAGTTATATTGACAGAGCTTTACAGCACTCAAAGAACTTTCATGTGCATTATCTAATTTTATCCTCAAAGCAGTCTTATCTCTTTTTCCAAAAACTGAGGCTGGGAGAAGTTGAGTAACACTAGGTTGTCAACACAGTGGATAACAGAAGTTGAATCCACATTTGAACTAAAAAGCTCAGGGTATAATATCATTTCTACTTTAAAAAACCTTATTTATGTATAGATTTTATATTTATCATAGACTGTAAATTATGTAAACCACAGACTGCCAGAAGAACGAACAAAGCTGTCTTAAAGGAAGTATAGCCAGAATGCTCCTTAGAAGTGAGGATGGTGAAACTTTGTCTCATGTAATTTGGACATGTTATCAGGACCAGTCCCTGGAGAAGGACATCCTGCTTGGTAAAGTAGAGGTCAGTGGAAAAGAGGAAGACCCTCAATGAGATGGATTGACACAGTGACTGCAACACTGGGCTCAAACACAACAACTCTGAGGATGGCACAGGAACAGGTGGTGTTTTGTTCTGCTGCGTACAGCATTGCTACAAGTCAGAGCTGACTGACAGCACCTAACAACAACAACGTAATTCTTTGAAGGCAGGGACTGTGTCTTAATACTCTTTCTTACCACTAATATGAAAGATAGTTAGCAAATTTCTCCTTTGTAGCCATCTACATTATCTCATTAAATACCTTCTATTAACTACAAAAGATGACATGTATTAGGTAAAATGTTTTAAGTTTTCCTAAAAGACATATGATAAATGAAAAAGAAAATACAGGACCTAATTTTTTAATTTCTAAAACCCAGGAATTGGCCATCCTTATTTCTGATTCCATACGTTTGCCTCCAGTGATTCCATAAACCGCAATATATATATATATATTTTTAAAAAAAGAGTATGAAAAATAATATATTTGAAGAAATACAATTCACATCTGAATGTATTTGGAAAAACATTTTAACCATGAAAAATTTGACAATGTCGACTAAAAACTCTACTAGCAGAATCAAACCAAGGAGGAAAAGAAAAAGTGAAAACACTTTGAAGACACTAGGCTCAAGGGAAACATGATCAGGGAAAACAAATGCTCAACATACCAACACTGGTGTCACATTTAAAGCTCAATATTTTGTTAAAAAATTTGATCTCCCCGGAGGAGAGTAAGCATTGTTTTACTTAAAGTGCCTGAAGTATCTGTATTCATTACCATATGTCAGCAGCCATTCAGACAGGGTTTTGTCAAGGAAGAAAATATGAATCCCTGTAATTCTTCTCACCAATGGTATTTCCAACAAGAGCTACAAGATACAATCAATAAATGATGGCTTTGCTACAGAACAGAAATCATTTGCACAGACAGGAAAGCTACTGCCTTTCCACTAATAGCTACATTCCCAAAGAAAATTCTGAAGAGCAACTTTCTGTGTTATTTTTGGAAAGCGCTAACTACAAATTAGGTAGTTAACTGGTACATCTTTTTTTTTTTTTTTTTTGTCTGTGTGTGTGTGTTTTTCATTTTTATGCAGTATTTTCATGAAACAATCTAACAAATAAGTTCTCTGAAGTAGAATCGTCTACTAGGTAACACAGATGTTTCCACTGAATTTTATTATGGTCATAAAAATTTCATAACTATCATAAAATAATATTGTAAAATAATAATTTGATGTGGCCAATACATGGGCCATGGTCAAAATGAAAATGGAAGTATTTCATGTGAAAGGGTAGACAGTTCTAAAATGGAATAACATTAACCTCTAAATGACATTACACCCATTTTAGTGATTTGTTCATAGTTTTTAAAGCACCTATTTTTTTACGGAGAGTATTATTTATTTTCTGCTTAAGCAATGCTATAATTATTTAAGGGCAGGGACCCTATCTCAATCATCTTTTTTATCACTAATATACAGAATAATGAACAAATCCCTAATTAACTGAAAAAGATGGTATGTTAGGTGAAATGAATTAAAGTCTCCTTAATATAGCTGATAAATGAGAAAAATAATGTAGGACCTAATTTTTTAATTTATAAAACTGAGACATTGGTCATTCAAGTGATTCCATAAACCACGATCTATAAATATTAAATACATATTAAAGAACTACTTACCTAGTAAGTCTGAGGCTCTCAAATTTTCTTTCAGAAAAATAACAGAAATAATGGCACTACCTATAAAGAAAAATGACAGTGAATGGTGGTTCCAACAGAAAAACATGTATCATGCAATGTTACTTGAAAAAAGGTAAGCAGTTTATGTCTTGCTGTGTCCTTGTCAGAGACACCCAGCAATTGCAGCTGCAACAATGACTTTCACCTCCCTTCAAGGTGGAAGATACATGGAAATCAGCCTGGTCCCCACTGGACCTAGGACAGTGGCCGTGATAGGGCCTGGTATATGATGAGGGCTTAACACGCAGCGAATAAGGCATTTAGCTGCTTACCAGAGAGTCGGCAGTTCAAACCCACCAACTGCTCCATGGGAGGAACATGAGACAATCTACTTTTGTAAAGATTGACAGCTTTGGAAAACTAATGGGGGTTGCTATGAGTTGGAATCAACTTGATGGCAGGTTTTTTTTTTTTTTTTAAATAAAAGTTTACTAAATAAATGATTGGAAAGAAAGAAGAAAAGCAGAAGAAGCTAGAAGGGGCAGAAAGGCATGAAGACACAAGAAAAGGAAAGAAGGAAAAGTCAGAAAGAAAGAGGAAAGTTCTAAGCTTTTTTGTTACTGTAAAAACAGATAACTCAACATTTGCCAATTTAATGTTTTTCACATGTACAATTTAGTGACATCATAATTATATTAATCATGCTATGCAAACATCACCAATTCCATTGTCAAAATTTTCAACCCCATAAACAGAAACTCAATGCTCCCTAAAAAATGACTCCCCTTTCTTCCCCTTCCTCCTGCCCTGGTAACTACTAATAACTTTTGGTCTATTTTTTTTTTTTTTCTTATTTTAGATATTTCACAAGTCATAGTTGTCCTTTTGTGACCAACTTACTTCACTCATCATGTTTTCAAGGTTCATCCATGTGGTAGCATATATCAGGAGAGAGCCTTAACTTGAAATATATCCCAAACAGAAACTCATTATTTCCCAGCATCTTCTCCTACAATCCATACCCCAGTTAATGCCACCTCCATACACTACTAACGCCAGAGTCCTGGGCTCTGTATAGTTTCTCCTCTCCTTCATACTACTTAGCCAACAGGCTACTGGGTCTGTGAGGTTCATGCTTCACTGTCTCTCAAGTCCACCCCTCTCTTCTTCTTCCCATTGTCAATGACTCCCTCAGGCAGCTTCATGTCTGATTTAGACCCTTCCTCATACTACCACCAGAATAACCTTTGTGAAACGCAAATCTAATGTTAACCCTCAGCTTTAAAACCTTTTGATGGCTTCCTTTCACCTACAGGGCAAAGGCCAAACTTCTGAGCATGAGAATCAAAAACTACCATGATCACTCCTGCCATTTTCTTTCTTTCTTTTTTTTATTGTGATTTGGGTGAAAATTTACAGAGCAAATTCACTTTCCATACACCAGTTCACATACACTTTGTCTCATGCCATTGACCACAATTTACCACAATGCAACAGCTCCCCTCCTACTTCCTCCCTATAGTTACCTCTTCCCTGTGTCCATCCCTTCATGCACTCCTGCCCTCTGAGCTGTCTCCCTGTGCATAAGCAGCCCTTCTTTCTCCCATGATTGTTTTCTCCAAGGAGTGTATCTACCTCAGGGAAATGTTCAACTCATATACCTGTCTATTGTTGGCTGGAAGCCACAGGCGTGGTTTCACTCCTGCCATTTTCTGTTCATCCTTACCTCACTCTTAGTAAAATAATCGCAATTATCAGAATCCACCTTAGTTTTATGCTCAAGGGCCTCTAGATGCACTGTTCCTTCTGCAACTCTGCCTCCATCCTGCTGACCAACTCTAGACTCAAGCATCAGCCCAAGAATCCCCTAGTCTGAGCCGACCCCTCCACTGTTAGGCCATGATTATCCCCTGTATCATTACACCTAAGAGTTGTTTCTTTCATCTGTCTGTCAGTTTGTTTGACTATGGTAGGTTGTGTGTTGCTATGTTGCTGGAAGCTATGTGACAGGTATTTCAAATACAAACAGGGTCAATTGTGCTAGACAAGCTACAGTGGCACTTCCAGAGTAAGATTAGGAAAACAGGGTGGCAATTTACTTCCAAAAATCAGCCAGTGAAAACCAATGGATCACAACAGAGTATTATTCAATTTAGTGCAAGAAGATGAGCCCAAGTTGAGAGGCACTGAAGGCCACAGCAACGGACTTGAGCCGAGCGACAACTGTGAAGATGATGCGGGACCGGGCAACCCTTTCTGTTGTCCACAGGGTCGCCATGAGTCAGGGCTGACTTGACAGCAACAATAAATGCATTAAAATTTTCTATTTCAGATTTGGATCAAAATAATTTAGGAAAACTAATTTCACAAATTAGAACATTAGAAAGAGTATGGAAACCAAGACCCTGGCTTCCTTTGTAATTAGATAAGATGGAGATAAAAACTCATTGCCGTTGAGTCGAACCCAACTCTTAGTGACCCTTCCTTGGGCTTCTGAGGTGGTATCGCTATGGAAGTAGATTGCCTAACCTTCCTTTTGAGGAATGGCTGGTGGGTTTGAACCGCCAGCCTTCTGATTGGCAGTCAAATGCCTTAGGCACTAGGCCACGAGAGCTCCTAAGATGGAGATAGATCAGCAATAAAAATAGGAGAAGTACTGCAAAACTAACATATACCACATGTATTCCATGATAATATTCCTTGAGATGGTCATTCCTCAGTAAAGGATGCCAATAATAAGGGAGACACTGCTTATGTGGAAAAAGACATTTTAGAGGTTATTGTTGTTATTTGCCTTCGAGTTGGCCCCGACTCGTAGCGACCCCTCCTTGGGTTTCCGAGGCAGTATCACTACGGAAGTAGGATTGCCCAACCTTCCTTCCGAGGACTAGCTGGTGGGTTTGAACCGCCAGCCTTCTGGTTAGCAGTCAAGTGCCTTAGGCACTATGCTACCAGAGCTCCCATTTTAGAGGTAGAGGAGACATAATGGTAACCTCTTCCAGGTCCTTCACTGTCTAATTGAGAAACTGAGGTCCAAACAGCTTGTTTGTTTATTCATCGATCTATCTAACAAACATTTATATTACAGATGAGTTAGAACCAAGACCCATATTTCCCTATTTCCAGTTCGGGGCTCTTTCTAGTATGCTACACTCCGTTGCTTCCCTTGAAGTAAGAAAAGACATTTTCCTTCTCAGCTTGTTGCTAAGCCACGGTTTCATAAGTAATTTTACTTTCAGAAGGAAGAGGGAAAAATGTTATGAGGGAGATAATTTCATTGCTAGATACAAAAAGGACGTGATTACTAACAATAAACTGAAATATACTACATGTACCAAATTCTATCAATTGCTGTAAAATAGTTATGAGTTTTGTGAAAATAAAATGATACTTTTACTTTCTACTGAAAGAATTCAGAAGTCTAACGTACTTCTACATTCATCCAATGATGTCTGCTTAAGAGAACGTGAGATTTTCTACAGACAAGAAGAGATTTTTAGTTTTTATTTATCTAGGTTTTAAAAAGTACAAAAAAAAGAGAACAATTTATGAGAGTCATTTACTTCTAAATCATTTATGTTGCAAAATATGGTTAAAATGAGAGTTGTGCGGAGCAAAAAGAGTATCTAAGCAACAGTTAATAACATGACTTCTAATTAGAGTTGTATATTTTTTAAAATGAGAAAAAAATACATAAAACGAAGTGTTCCCATAAATCCTTGCAATTGAGATCTGTCAAATTCAAGCCTAAGTAGTTGCTATAACAACCACTACTGCCTAATGAACATCTAAAATGGGAAAAAAGTATTACACCTTTATTCCTAGAGTAAAATTCAATATTAAAAATTAGAAAGATGATGCCAAGGTTTAAAAACATGAAAACAAAACATGCCTGTAAATGAACCGGATTCGTGCTGCTGTTGTTAGGTTCCGAGCTGGTTCTGGCGCACAGTGACCCTATTTAAAACGGAATGAAAGAAACACCGTCTAGTCCTGCACTATCCTCACAATCGTTGCCATGCTTGGGCCCACAGTCACAGCCAATTGTGGCAATCCATCTCATTGAGGGTCTTCCCTTTTTTGCTGACCCAAGCATGATAATCCTTCTTCAGGGATTGGTCCCTTCTGACAAAATGACCAAAGTACGAGAGACAAGGTCTGGCTATTCTCACTTCTAAGGAGCATTCTGACTGTACTTTCTCCAAGACAGATTTTGTTAATTCTTCTAGCAGTCCAGGCAACATTCAACATTCTTTGCCAACACCACAATTCAAATGCATCAATTCTTCCATCTTCCTTATTCAATATCCAGCTCTCACATGAGGCTATGGTTTGGGTCACTCACACTTAGTCTTCAAAATGACATCTTTGCTCTTTAACACTTTAAAGAAGTCTTTTGTAGCAGAATTTCCCAATGCAATACTTCATTTGATTTCTCAACTGCTGCTTTCCTGAGTGTTGATTGTGCACCCAAGTAAAATGAAATCCTTGACACCTTTAATCTTTTCTCCATTTATCATGATATTGCTTATTGGTTCAGTTGTGAGGATTTTTGTTTTCTTTATGTTGTGGTGTGATCCATACTGAAGGCTGTAGTGTTTGTTCTTCTTCAGTAAGTGCTTCTAGTCTTCTTCACTTTCAGCAAGCAAGGTTGTGTCATCTGCAAATCACAGGCCATTAATAAGTCTTCTTTCTCCAACCTGACATTCCATTGTTTTCATATAGTTCAGCTTCTCACATTATCTGCTCATCATACAGATTGAAAAAGTACAGTGAAAGGATACAACCCTGACACACACCTTTCCTGATTCTGGACGGACCACACAGTATCACCTTGTTCTGTTTGAACAACTGCTTCTTGGTCTATGTACAGGCTCAACATGAACACAATTAAGTGGTCTGGAATTCCCATTCTTTGCAATGTTACCCATAATTTGTTATGATCCACACAGTTGAATGCCTTTGCATAGTCAATAAAACACAGGTAAACATCTTTCTGGTATTCATTGCTTTCAGCCAAAATCCATCTGGCATCAGCAATGATATCCTTTGTTCCACAT